AGCTTTTCAGATGAAAAACCAGCTTGTTTCATGTAAGAGGCCTGTTATTGTATGGAAGTAAACCTCAACCGGTTCCATTAATACAAGCAAAGACACAGAAGAGCAAAGTGAACTGAGTTTTATGAGCTCCTTGTAGTCCAGTTATCAAGAATTATTCATGTCTTGTCATTAAATAAGACTCCTAGAACTTGATAAAACCTTCAATGGGTTTAGAGCCCATATCAGCAAACCTATGGCTATATTTGAAGGTTCCTGATTATAACCAGTTTACAATAACTTGTTTTTGTGTTAGTAATTGGCCTATTGAAGACTCATATATCAAAATGTATCAACTTGTGTGGGGTTCAAAGAACCCTGGCCTGTTTACGCATAAATTATTTCCTCTCACATGTTTCAATAGTGGAATAGGCTATAATAATTAGAGAATCTAACAAAACGTTGAGCAAGTCCTTAGGATGGGCTCTTCTCTGGAGAAACCATCCAGAGAACTTCCTCAACTTTTTTGGGAATTTTCTACCTTAATAATTAAGATGCATCAAGGCAACAAAGCGACATACAGTAATATTCATTAAAAATTCCCTCAATTCTTTATGGGCCCTTGGTTGGTCCTTGGCTGGTCCTCTACAATTCCTTTTTTGACATCAATATTAAGATCTAGAGAGAAGCGTCATCTCCTGATCAGACCCTGTAATTCAGTGAAAGGGTGGAGTCAAAGTAAAAAAAAAAAAAAATATATATATATACAGGTGCTGGTCATAAAATTAGAATATCATGAAAAAGTAGATTGATTTCAGTAATTCCATTTAAAAAGTGAAACTTGTATATTATATTCATACATTACATACAAACTCATATATTTCAGATGTTTATTTTGTTTAATTTTGATGATTACAAATGACAACAAATGAAAATCTCAAATTCATCATATCAGAAAATTAGAATATTGTGAAAAGGTTCAAAATTGATGGCCCCTGGTGCCACACTCTAATCAGCTAATTAACTCAAACCACCTGCAAAAGCCTTTAAATGGTCTTTCAGTCTAGTTCTATAGGCTACACAATCATGGGGAAGACTGCTGACTTGACAGTTGTCCAAAAGACGACCATCGACACCTTGCACAAGGAGGGCAAGACACAAAAGGTCATCGCTAAAGAGGCTGGCTGTTCACAGAGCTCAGTGTCCAAGCACATTAATAGAGAGGCGAAGGGAAGGAAAAGATGTGGTCGAAAAAAGTGTACAGGCAAGAGAGATAACCGCACCCTGGAGAGGATTGTGAAACAAAACCCATTCAAAAATGTGGGGGAGATTCACAAAGAGTGGACTGCAGCTGGAGTGAGTGCTTCAAGAACCACCACACACAGACGTATGAAAGACATGGGTTTCTGCTGTCGCATTCCTTGTGTCAAGCCACTCTTGAACCACAGACAGCGTCAGAAGCGTCTTGCCTGGGCTAAAGAGAAACAGGACTGGACTGCTGGTGAGTGGTCCAAAGTCATGTTCTCTGATGAAAGTAAATTTTGCATTTCCTTTGGAAATCAAGGTCCCAGAGTCTGGAGGAAAAGAAGAGAGGCACTTCATCCACGTTGCTTGAAGTCCAGTGTAAAGTTTCCACAGTCAGTGATGGTTTGGGGTGCCATGTCATCTGCTGGTGTTGGTCCATTGTGTTTTCTGAGGTCCAGGGTCAACGCAGCCACATACCAGGAAGTTTTAGAGCACTTCATGCTTCCTGCAGCTGACCAACTTTTTGGAGATGCAGATTTCATTTTCCAACAGGACTTGGCACCTGCACACAGTGCCAAAGCTACCAGTACCTGGTTGAAGGACCATGGTATCCCTGTTCTTAATTGGCCAGCAAACTCTCCTGACCTTAACCCCATAGAAAATCTATGGGGTATTGTGAAGAAGAAGATGCAATACACCAGACCCAACAATTCAGAAGAGCTAAAAGCCACTATTAGAGCAACCTGGGCTATCATAACACCTGAGCAGTGCCACAGACTGATCGACTCCATGCCACGCCGCATTGCTGCAGTAATACAGGCCAAAGGAGGCCCAACTAAATACTGAGTGCTGTACATGCTCATACTTTTCATGTTCATACTTTTCAGTTGGCCAACATTTCTATAAATCCTTTGTTTTTATTGGTCTTCAGTAATATTCTAATTTTCTGATATGATGAATTTGAGATTTTCATTTGTTGTCATTTGTAATCATCAAAATTAAACAAAATAAACATCTGAAATATATGAGTTTGTATGTAATGTATGAATATAATATACAAGTTTCACTTTTTAAATGGAATTACTGAAATCAATCTACTTTTTCATGATATTCTAATTTTATGACCAGCACCTGTACATTGACACAATATCCAGCACTTTCACTGTATTCTATCAAATATATTTCAACTGTCTAAGAGGCTCTAATAGAATCTGTATGATTTATTTTTTTCAGTTGGAAGAAGATAGTTTGAAATTTGAAAGTTTCTTAGAGGCTTTCTAGAAGCATCCGCCTGCAGCTGATATTAGAATTCAGACTCACCGCAGCTCATCTCATGTGCCTCCTACCTTTACTGTGTTATTGATTTCATACCTCATACTAAATGAAGCACCTAGACGTGCATGTGTAGACACGTGCATGACACAGTGTGGATGAGTGTGTATCTGGTGCTCACTGATGTATTTAAGAATTTAACAGATGCCCCTGAAAACTTGTCTCAAAGTCTGTTTTTGGTCCAAGGAGTAGCCTTCCCACTGGCGTCAATTCTGGTGTCTGAGTTTGCCTGAGGCTGCTCCCTGTCTGCCAATCCACCTGTCACTAGCAAACAACATCCAGCAAATTGAGATTTACCATACGGATACTGAGGCACTTGAGGTTTTGAAATTTCAACAGGGTAGATAACACCTTTTTCTCAAAGCAATGATTGAAACATTTGGGAAATTTTCTCTAAAGATAATAATCTATCTTTAGTGTTTTGGAAAACCTTTCAGAATTTCAAAGTAAATCTGAATCGATGGTGGTGCAGATAGCAGCAAAGCAGAAATCCTGTGAATGATAACATTTCCTTAAGGCTCCTAATGATAATTTCTGTCCTATTACTTAGACATGTATGCCGTTGTCCGTTGTAGACAGCCATTGAGATTAAGATAAGTTCTCATTTCACATCATCAAATAGCAGTTAAGGGATTCCGAGTTTAAAAAGGGATAGTTGCTGATGTTAATCTTAACAGCATCAAGTACAAAAGCACATTGTTTTCAAGTGCTTTGACTTTACGGATACTTACACTCGCATTGAAATGCTCACAGAAATCTAAAAGACTAAGAATGATAAGCCAATTAATAAGGTGAATCAAGCTTTTGTTCAAATAGAATACGATATCAAAGAGGCGTATTTGAGAAGCAGCCCTTTACGTCTGTTTATGTTACTAACTTCTTTTGTGGCAAACACACTGCTAGTTGAAGAATCTGAAAAAAAATCTTCATCAAAGCTGACGCCACAGAAACAAACACATCATTTATTAGATGAAGTCTGACACATATATAAACTGAATTATGCATTGTGGTGTTTTGCTTGTTTGTTGTATCTGTTATCTGTGCCTGTTTTTATTAGAGTGTAAAGATTATTTTTCGGATCAAAAGCGGATTTTTCTATCCAATTCACACCAATGTAAAACTGCATGTGATTTCTATGGTGTGTAAAGACATAAACAATTAAGCAATTAACACTCTAGTGGTGTATAAATATTTTGATCACCAGTTAAGAGCAGAAACAATAGATGGCTTTATTTTTTTATCAACATACTTTAGAATAAGTGGTGCAACTTGCAGATACATCATATAATACACATATAAATAGTAAGAAATGTAATTGTAATGAATATAATATGTAAATTACATTACATATAGGGATTTATGTAACTCTAATCCGTTAGCAAAAAAAGATCAGAATAATAAAACAAAGTAGAAATAGTAAATGTAATGTAAAAAAAAAAAGTATGTCAATCCTAAAGCTTGGAAAAGCAGATTTTGAGTGTCCTGACTTTTAGTTGTCCTAAATATATAGATACATTTGCTTCGTCCTTTCATAAAAAAAACTGTATTATGGAGGAAAAAAAAGGATTTTCAGTAGAAGTTTTTTTTCAATAAAAAAAGGTCCTGAAATAATTAAACTTAAGAACATTTAGGATTACAAATGTACATGCAGAAAACCAACTATTATTCAATATATATATATATATTATTCAATATATATATATATATATTATTCAATATATATATATATATATATATATATATATATATTATTCAATATATATATATATTATTCAATATATATATATATATATATATATATATATATATATATATATATATATATATATATATATATATATATATATATATATATATATATATATATATTTTATTTTATTATTTTTTTTTTTTACTCCTTTTTTCCAATCAGGGCCTTAAATTCTTCAGTGATAATAAACAAGTCATGCGGTCATGTTTAATGACTGGAGCGTTCCTGGTGTCTTCTGCTACCTAAAAAAAAACAAAACTACATCCTCTAAAATGGTAGCACTAAAAGGGAAAGATCATGATTGGAACTGAGAAAATCCAACTTCTGGGATTTTATAAATTGGGAATTTGACCTTGCATCTAAAGTAAGCTTGAGGAAATAAAATTAAAATATAAGGTTGGTTTGATTATTGGGAAGCAGGGTTCTGTGTGGTCGTTTCCTCATGTGTTTAAGAGAGATGACATATCAGGAGCTTGATGAAAAAGTCAACACATCTTTGGAAGAAAGCCAAACTAACCCACTAATTCTGTTGTCAAATCATATTGGCAGTGCTGCTGGGAAATAGCTTGTTACTCCAGTATGTCCAATTACTATGGACCTTTATCAGTCTGTTGGAATGGAGACATGTCTGCCTCTTATAGTAACCAGGGGTGTCCTCGTTTCTCTCTCTTCTCTTCTTTTCATTATTTCCATCCAGGTCACCCGCGTGCCAGTGGAGAGCTGCGAGCAGTACACTTCTTGCAGAGACTGTCTGGGATCAGGAGACCCTCACTGCGGATGGTGTGTGCTACATAACATGTGAGTACTCTGACAGAGCAAGGCTGCTTTTTATGTTTCAAGTATATCTGCTCAAGTTTTATTTTCCCAGTTTGTGTCAATTATAACCGGTTGGTTGAAAATATCTTTTTAAGGATGTTTTTTAATGTCTTATATCTTACTGACTCGTCTGATTGATAATCAGTTCATGTTTAAACGTGATTTAAAACAATTACTGCATTCCCACTTGAAAGAGCCTTTATATTCTCCTGATAAAACATTTAAGATCAGTTACAAAATGGTAAGAATTCACATTTTGAACTGTTTGATCGCAATGTGGTTCTTAGTAGAGCTTTAAAATGCAAAGCTAAAAAAAGTGAGACTAAAAAAAGTTGAGTCAGCGATTTATTGCAAACAACCATTAAAGTGAAATAGGCTGTTTATAAACCTTTCAAAAAAATTTAATACTGAATTGATTGAAAAGCTCAAATCTTCTATAAAAATTTGGATTAAGTTTCATTTTCTGTGAGGTATCCGGTGTTCTGTCAGATAAGCATACCCCACCAGACTTCCAAAGTCAATACCCGTTTATCCCCTTAGTTTATCCCAATTTAAACCTTTAGTTTATCTATTTAGTTTTGTAAGAAAAATAGACTTTAAACTACCTCAGTGGGCATGTAACCCTTTAGTCCTGTACAAAAAACAATTTAACTACTTACTTTTTGGTGTTTTTATGAAGCATATGTGCAAACAAAATGTAATGCAGCCATTTTTGGCATTCACTTAATCATATTTAGTTACTTTACCACAATAGTTTCATGTTAGCAGGGCAGGACATTAAAAAGTTGTGTTAAAGTAACTAAATATGATTAGGAAAAGGCCAAAAGCAGTTGCATTATTTTTTTTTCAGTGTAGATCTGACCCTAAATAGTTTTTTTGTTCATGACTAAAGCGATACATGCCTGTCGAAGTAGTTTAAAGTTTATTTTTCGTACAAAACTAAAGGGATAAACACAAATCTGACGTCTTGCACATGTGTATGGACTATAGGTATGCTGGTCTCAGAGATGTGCTCATCTTACAGAACACTGGCACTTCCTCCACTGTAGGTGCTTTATACCAGGCCTTTAGAGCTGCTTTGTAACAATAAAGGACGACTGAGCAGCTGCTGTCAGTCATGTACAGTATGCCTCACATTAACACCCTGTACAGTACAGTGCAGGATGCTTCCTGTTACCCAGAGATTTTACTGTATGCCTGACATTTTTTTCATCTTAAACCTAAAACCTACTACCACTGCAATCATTCATGCATATTTTAGTTTTGGTTCGGCTGCTGCAGATCTGCAGAGCTACTGAAAAAGTGCTGATTCGGTTCACATGACACCATTTAACATGACATATTCCAGTAATTGCTGGGTTCAGCTTTTTAAATGCAAGTTATTTATATGCGCTTCCCTAATTTATTTCTAATTTCCATGCATCTTTGCACACGCTAATAAACAGGCTCTTTGCCTGAGATTTCATCTGAGAGCTTGTTTTTTTTTTGGTATTTTAGCAAATACACCGAATCAATAGTTCTGTGAAATCTTTACTTTTTATTAACTGAGATATAAACAGCCACAATTTATGCTTTCCGACTGAGAAAGGGCTTTATGTATAAAGCTTTAGATCAATAAGGACAGCTAATAATACTGTTAATGTGAGTTTAAACAAATATCAGGAAGTTCTGCTGTGAATCTTTAATAAAGAGATGTGACAGAAGGATAATCTCCTGTGATAGATGTTCGAGGAGAGATCGCTGTGAGCGTGCAGAGGAGCCCCAGCGTTTCACCACCAGAGTCGAGCAGTGTGTTCATCTTTCCGTCCATCCTGAGACTGTCTCTGTCACCATGTCAGAAGTGCAGGTATCAAGTCCTATCGAACTCTGTTATGCCTTGTAGGACTGTGTGGATGTGATTGTTGTGTTAGGAGGGCTGGATAAGGAGAGGGATGTAGAAAAGGATATAAAATGATATGAGAAAAAGCTTGATGATGTTTTATCATAAGCGATCATCTTAGGCTGCTGCTGAAAGCTGATATTGGAGTAGCGTTTTTCTGCTGCGGGGGCATCAGTAATGAAGTGTATTGATTGAAATTTCTGCTGTAGCTCATCTTTTCTGATTTCTGCCCTTCTTTCTAGTTGGTGCTTCAGGCGCAGAACGTGCCCAGTCTGTCTGCAGGAGTAAACTGCTCCTTTGAGGACTTCGTAGAGACAGAGGGGCGCATCTATAGTGGACGGATCTTCTGCCTGTCTCCCTCTACCAAAGAAATTGCTCCTATTACACGAGACCAGGGTAACTTTTTTTATTAGTTATTAAAAGATATGTACAAAAAATGGTTAATGGAGCCAGATTTGTTTAACTAAACTGTACCTAACATATTATATAAGATTTATTGAAGTATTGGGATATCTTTAAGCCTAATTAATTGTTTCTTTTTGTGATTGATTAAACTATAAGGGAAAATCCTCCAGTTAACACTAGGACTCCCAGAATTCCTATCCTACTAGAATTCCCACTGGCCGTCAGGGTAACGGGTGACATTATTCCCAATGGATTCCCAATTCCCAATGCATGCGTAATGATGATGTCATCAACTGAAATGGTTCTACTGTGCGATATAAACTCATTTTGGATAAGTAGACCTTATATCAGGTCTAATATATATTTTTTAAAGGCTGTATTGTATGCTATTATAATTTATGGTCTAACTTTGTGTTAAAAATAAAGCAGTAAAATAAATAAGGCTCTTTAACCACACAGGTTTGAAGTTTAAAATTACAATTTTATTTACAGAAATTGATAACCCCCACACATTTCCCTCCTGATGACCTTTTTTTACATTTGTGACAAACATCGTATGAGCAGCTTTTTGTGCAGCCCTGAAGCACCTGGTGCTGTTTTCTTTGCCTCGCCAACGCTGCGGTGGATGGTCTGGTAACCTACATGTGGTTTGCACACCAACCTGTGTGTGATTATGGTAGACCACGCGCTCTGGTTTGGCTTTTGGGCCCCTGAGTGTACCAGCTGAGGTGTGGGAAGTGCTACCCAAAGCTTGAACAAAAGTTTCACTATTGTCTGATGGGTCACTGATATGTCTGCTTTTTCCCATGGATGGTTGATCATCCTCGGACTCGCTGTCAGAATCTGAGCCGCTTCCTACCCAGTCTTCCTCATCGGTCTTTCCCTCTCCGCCCGAATCAATGAAACATTTCTAAAGCCTTTTTCGTGGTTAGATTTCTCCTGAAAGCCATTTTCCGGTTTTTCAAAGTAGTTCTAGGTAAAATGTTGGTTACAAGGCGACGGTACCGACCATCAATCAACCCCAGGAAGAATTTACAAAGCAACTAATATAGCCGCTAAAATGACGGCTGTGGGAGATCGAAGTAAAATTAACCATATTTGTTTTTTTACGTTTTTATTTTATTGGAAAAAATACATGAAAATTAAGAAAATATAAAAACAGGAAATGTCAGTTAACATGAGCAATATATGATTAATGTAAATAAAGTTATTTCCCTTTAAAATCGGAGAACTGTCTAAATAAAGGCCTTGGGAGTTCTAGTGTTAAAAGAGTTTGTTTCTAAATAAGATTTTTTGTTTTAAAGACATAAAAACGATGACTTTGCTCTCCAAGTAATTAAAATAGGAAATATAGGTAAAAAGGTAAAGGTGAAAAAACGGCAGCATTAAGTCAACATTTTCAATAGCTGGAGTTGTTAGTTGATACAGGCTTTGTTTACATTGGGAATTTATTAGTTATAGAAGTCCAACTAACAAAACAAACCACATACACTCACCGGCCACTTTATTAGGTACACCTGTCCAACTGCTCGTTAACACTTCATTTCCAAGCAGCTAATCACATGGCGGCAACTCAGTGCATTTAGGCATGTAGACATGGTCAAGGGGAAGAAAGGTGATTTGAGTGACTTTGAACGTGGCATGATTGTTTGTGCCAGAAGGGCTGGTCTGAGTATTTCAGAAACTGCTGATCTACTGGGATTTTCACGCACAACCATCTCTAGGGTTTACAGAGAATGGTCCGAAAAAGAAAAAACATCCAGTGAGCGGCAGTTCTGTGGGCGGAAATGCCTTGTTGATGCCAGAGGTCAGAGGAGAATGGCCGGACTGGTTGGAGCTGATAGAAGGGCAACAGTGACTCAAATAACCACCCGTTACAACCAAGGTGGGCAGAAGAGCATCTCTGAATGCACAGTACATCGAACTTTGAGGCAGATGGGCTACAGCAGCAGAAGACCACACCGGGTGCCACTCCTTTCAGCTAAGAACAGGAAACTGAGGCTACAATTTGCACAAGCTCATCGAAATTGGACAATAGAAGATTGGAAAAACGTTGCCTGGTCTGATGAGTCTCGATTTCTGCTGCGACATTCGGATGGTAGGGTCAGAATTTGGCGTCTACAACATGAAAGCATGGATCCATCCTGCCTTGTATCAACGGTTTAGGCTGGTGGTGGTGGTGTCATGGTGTGGGGAATATTTTCTTGGCACCCTTTAGGCCCCTTGGTACCAATTGAGCATTGTTGCAACGCCACAGCCTACCTGAGTATTGTTGCTGACCATGTCCATCCCTTTATGACCACAATGTACCCAACTTCTGATGGCTACTTTCAGCAGGATAATGCGCCATGTCATAAAGCTGGAATCATCTCAGACTGGTTTCTTGAACATCACAATGAGTTCACTGTACTCAAATGGCCTCCACAGTCACCAGATCTCAATCCAATAGAGCATCTTTGGGATGTGGTGGAACGGGAGATTCGCATCATGGATGTGCAGCCGACAAATCTGTGGCAACTGTGTGATGCCATCATGTCAATATGGACCAAACTCCCTGAGGAATGCTTCCAGCACCTTGTTGAATCTATGCCACCAAGAATTGAGGCAGTTCTGAAGGCAAAAGGGGGTCCAACCCGTTACTAGCATGGGGTACCTAATAAAGTGGCCGGTGAGTGTTTCTCTAGGCTAAATGACTGAGAACAGTGAAATAACCAAATGTAAGGCCTCCACGAACGGTTCCTATGCTGTGTTAGTAATTTAACTGAAGAGCATTTTATTTCTGAAATGATATCCTGCTGTTGTTGTAGCCACCTGCCAGGATGTTATGTCTTAAAAAATATGTTTGTTTTTAAAGCCACATGGAAGAAAACCTCTAAATCCTGAATATATTAAATATTTTAGTCTTTATGATTAGATAATAAAATTCAGAAGCAACATAAGGGAAAATAAAAGGCTGCTGGTAAAATAAAACTCACGCAGTTCAAATGTTTTGTGTTTTCTTCTAGGTGACCAACGTGTAATAAGGCTGTATCTGAAGTCCAAAGAGACGGGGAAGAAGTTTGCCAGCGTTTTATTCATCTTCTACAACTGCAGCGTCCACCAATCGTAAGTCAGTCGCTCCTGTTTGGCTAAAAAAAATCATAATGTGAACGGAGAGCTTAACCTGTGTCACAGTAATATTAAGCATGCATGCATAGAAAATGCATTCTGACTAAAAGCAGTGGTGTTAAAATGCTGGCTGACAAGTAAATGTTCTTTTATTGGAGGGGGGGGGTGAGGACAGCTTACAACCTGTTCCTATTCGGTATTCAATGTATTCAAGCTTTTAACAAATCAATTAGTTAATTAGATCTCTGGCAAATGAGGGAGTACTGGTGAGTAAAATAATAAATCGAATCCAATCCATGCAAGGCCAAGAAGAGCAGCCAAGCTCGGGAACCCAGAACACATCATTTATGGTGTTTGGAAGTGATTTATTTCTAATTTAAGTAAAGGAAAACTGCTTCTCTATTCAGCACTGCAGTTTGTACAGGCTTTTTTTGTTTAACACTGTTACATGGAAATAAAGATGTCGAGCTTTTCTAATTAAACTCGTCTGTGTGCCACATATGAACTGCAGAACTAATTATCAGTCAGTGAATCATAGGGTATGTATTTAGGTAATGTTGTATAGAGAGAAATCACATGATCAGACCCAGCGTTTTGATGCACCTCAGGTGATTTAGATAGATTACACTAATATGTTTCCATTCATAAAGATTTTAAACTGTAGTCAGGGGAAATACAGCTAACTTTAAATGTGCAAACCAGCATATGTATGTTTGCACATATTTGTGTGTAATTGCATGAATGTGGCTCTAGTGTAAAGCTAATTTAGTGCTCAGTTTTGCTGGAAAGTGCTGTATAATTTTAGTCTATTTGAAATGTTATTAAGAAATGCTGCAAAAAAATATTCTACCTTCGCTATATTCTCACAGACGACTTAATAAGGTCGAATTAGCTGTCTGCAGTGATGGATTTAAAGAGGCCTGTTTATTGAATGGATCCTGTGTGGAATCATGTAAGGTGAGTGGGTGGTTTTAAAGTGTCTCCCAGGACGGTTCGAACTGAGTATGCATAACTAATGCTGAATGCTCAGTCTGTCTTGGGTTGGATCATCAAATTTAGCTCCAGCTACATGTGACAAGAAAGATGTTAAAGGGAGGCTTTTTATTCATTCAGTTTTCCTGTTTGTTTTAAAAAGGTAAAAAGGTTCCAGCTAGAGCAGCGCAATATATTGATTCACAAAGACGAGTAAAATAAGAGGTTTTTTAAATATTCCAGTTGAAAGAAATGGCTTTGAGACAATAATTAGTTTGATACCATACTTTATTTCTCATGCATTTAAACATAGGTGGCCAGTAATATACACAGCCAGTCGGATGGTCCTGATTCCTCCCACAGGGGCCTTTTGAATCACTGTGATGCTAAAGCTTAGAGAAAATGATGGAATAACTAAAATAGGCATAAAAATTTAGTGATTGTCAACTTATAATTATTGCTATATTTAGCAGTATTATATCCAGCAACCTTAGTCTCAACCTGCTCTTATTTATAGGATTTAGCTTCAGTCTACAGGTACAGTAGATCTTAAACGAAATGTCCGGCCATATTCAGAATTCAAACTTCTGAAAGTACTTTAAATATGAAATTATTACATACTGTTCAACAAATATAAGTGTTTTTAATTGAGAGTAATTTTCTAATTGAATGTGCTTTATTGGAGGCATCCATGTTTGTCAAATGACACTACTGCCATCTACTGGTTTATGACGTTACGGTGCGGTATCGGCTGTTGATCAAGTCCCAGTGCTTTATCTGGTGTTTGTCACAAAGCGCTATTATCCAAGTCATCTTGAAAACATTCTTCTTGGAAATGTTGGATACATATTACCTGTTTTTTCCTGGCCAGAAATTCGATTGAATAGATTTCAGAATAGATTTTTCCCTTGTGCTCTTTCAGGCCTAACACTGGGAGTGTAACAAATTGATTGATTATTTGAGCCACATCCTTAGATAGAGCCTGCAGTAAGCTGCTATGCTAACAAAGCTTGGCACTTCTTTAGTTTTCACACCAACAGTCTTCCTCTCCTTTCCCTATGTAACATTTTAGAATTTTTCTCTCTCTTAAGCAAAGAATAATGTATCTTATTTTGGCAGCTTACCGTACTAAACAACAGGTAGGGGAGGGGAAGCAGTGAATGATGTAAAGGTCATGGAGCTACTGCATCCTTTCTGCTGTGTCTTTAACAGGTAAACAAAAGGCCAATCTGATGAAATCACCTGTTGTCACCGTGGTGTCAGTTTCTGCCTCTGGCTGATCTGATACCTTTAGGTTTTAATGGCTGAGTTATTAGATAGAACTGCTGAGGTATTTTCAGGGTTATTAGTTTCCTTTCTTTTAAATCCCAAACATTAGTCCAGACAACTAAAGAGCATTTGTAAGAGTCCTTTTCAGATCATGTGAACTAAAACATTATGACAACAAGCAGGCCTTTCAGTACTGACAGCTTCTTTGTAGCATTAGCACTTTCCCCAAAGAATGGTTGAAATAACCCTGACAAGATCTTACCAGTAACTGTTCTTATGTTAATTTGTCCATTGCTTGCCTTTCTTTCTTTCTTTGAGATTTGACAAATTTTTTTATTTTCCATTATGTCCTGTTTCACCCACCTATTTTCTGTCCCTTTTTTGGCAGCTATAGATGGAAATTTAGTGCTAATTTCAATAAGTTAGCCCATTATAATTGCAAATCTACTGGTTTTTTGCCACTTTTTTCAGTAAATTTTAAGTAAGTGCACAAAAACGAGGTCTAAGCAAAGCAGCAAAAGTTCAGCAGTGAGATAAAGCAACTAACCGATCAGGATGTTCTTTGTTCTGTCTTGTTAAACAAAGGTTAAACGAAAAATGAATGAAATGTCAATAAAAAACTATGACTTTGTGAATGTGATTTCATACCCGGGATTTAAGCTTAAAATCCCGTTTCTTTTTTGAAGTACAAAAAGAAGCAGTTCTTCGGTTTTTGACAGATTGATTCAAAACCTAAAAGACCTAAAACAGCATGGCGTAGGTTTGCATAGGGCGTAGGGACCATAGGGACATCTCTGTACTAAAATTTTGCAGTGACCCACTTGTCCCTACCAAGAATTTTATATGAATAACATGTTTTTAATTTACAATACAGCGTTTTTGCAGCACTCGCCTGCTTGATACCTGCTGCTTCCACTCCATCTGAGTGCCTGTGCAGTGTTTCCTGTCCCTTTCATTAAGCAGTGCATGTAACTGTGCTGCGCTGTTTAACTCCACTCTCATTGGTTGTTCTGCCTTTTTTTCCACCTTCTCTTTTCCTGATTGGCTGTTTTCTAGTGATTTCTGTGCCTGCGTGCATCCCTAGAGCACAACATTTCGGCTTCATTCACACTAGGATACCGCATTAACTGTAATTAATGGTAGGCTACGAATCTAGTCCCAAATAAAAAACAAAATATCTGCGCTAAAAGAGCTGAAAGCTGCTAATTGCAGTTCTGTAAAGAAGCAGAAGAGAGTGCTTTGATTTGTGGAACTTGAAAAATGTAAGTAACCAATATTAGCATCTCAGAATGATAATGATTAATTCTGAAGTATAATACATTTTATCAACAAAAACCGTTTCTTCTTTTATACAACTAAATCATATGTGTCAGGCAGGAGCTCTGAAGACTGCTGGAAAAATGGACAGGCAAAGACTGTAAGAAGAAAATCTGATTCTTAGCCAGAGTCGACTGAAAAAGAAAATGTGAGGGTTTCCCTTTTACAAATATTTCTTTTCTATTACTGTTTTCGTTTTTTGACGACCCTTTGCGGCAGTTCAGGTATAAATATGTATTATTTCTTTTATAGAGTGTAACAACGTGTAATTTTTAGATAAAATAGAATACACTGTATTTACAATCCAGCTTTAATGTGTGGAAATAAAGTTAGGTTCAAGTTAATCTTAATGTTTTGGATGCTGTTATCCAAATTTAGGTGTATTATGTGAGAAATGTGTTCAGAATGTTACAATAAAATACATGAAATAGGCAGACAGAGTAACTAAAGCCCAGATGTACAACTTGTATATTAAAGTTAAGATTTTAAATGTTCAGTTCCTCTTATAGTTTCCATGCACATGTAAATACAATAAATCTATTTGCAGTCCCTTGAATGTATTATTCTGCTTTGTTTTTGGACACAGAGAATGTCAGCATATCAGATAAAAAAATAAAATACATATTTAGACTATATTTAGACTATAAATAGACATATTTAGACTATATTTGGTTAAATAAGCACATGTTTACCTGCTTTCTCAGCACAATCGTACATCCAATAGCGAAAACAAAAATGGTTTTCAATGCAGCACTCTACAGTGACTAGAGGCTTAGCAAGGAACTAAGACTAACTGCATAAAAAAAAGGCAGTTTAGTTAGTTTGGGAATCAGATTAAAGGATGCCATATAATATTAGATACTTCTGAATTGGGAATTGTCTGGCATAGACCTTAAACTGAAATGCACATTTTCTTGGGATTAAATGAGCTCAAAAATGTTGCAGTAGTTTTCCTCATCTCCTGTGCAACGATGGATGGATGGATGGATGGATGGATGGATGGATGGATGGATGGATGGATGGATGGATGGATGGATGGATGGATGGATGGATGGATGGATGACATACAGATGGATGGATGGATGGATGGATGGATGACATACAGATGGATGGATGGATGGATGGATGGATGGATGGATGGATGACATACAGATGTATGGATGCATGAATGGATGGATGGATGGATGGATGGATGGATGGATGGATGGATGGATGGATTGATGGATGGATGGATGGATTGATGGATGGATGGATAACATACAGATGGATGGATGGATGGATGGATGGATGGATGGATGGATGGATGGATGGATGGATGGATGGATTGATGGATGGATGGATGGATGGATTGATGGATGGATGGATGGATGGATGACGTACAGATGTATGGATGCATGAATGGATGGATGGATGGATGGATGGATGGATGGATGGATGGA